TACGTACTTGGAATTCAGCTGTTCGGAGCCCTGGCCTGGGGCACACAGGAAAGACTTGTTTTCAAGGCAACCATTTTTGTAGTTGCTTACTTATGTCTGTCCATCCTCAATGAAGGTTTCTCCTCTTCCCTGCAGAAGACAAGAGCTTAGCTGTCTGTTCGAGTAAGCTCCTGCTAACCTATCTGTTGTACAGAGATTCCTGAATGTTTATCTGTTTGGTAAAGGCTTTGGTTCTCTTACTACTGCCATTTCGAGTACTTAAATTGAGAAGAAATCTAATGTATTGCAGCTTATTCTAAATACCTTCATGTAAGTGTGATAGCATTTTTAGACTGCAACAATGCTTTGATATTTTCAAAGTTCTCTTGGGACAGCTCTTTCTGTTAACTGAAGAAAGCTGGGGGAATGCAGTAGGCATTGATTTCACAGGTTTCGCACTCTTCTGACAGTGCTCTTCAATGGACTCCTCACCCCTTTGGTCTGTCAGGCATTTGGCTTTTTTTTTTTTTTTTTTAAGCTGCACTTCTAAGTACAAATTTGAATCTGGATGAAGCGTTTGGCCTTTGGCAATTTTCTTCTTTGAAAATTCCACACGCACAACCAGATGCCCACTGCACTGAACCTCCCCGTACTGCCCTAAATGGGCCACTTACTTGCTTAAAACAACCTGTCCTTCGCTCCCCAGCCACCAGCCAAGCGCCAGCGCTCAGCAGCCAGCTCAGATGCCCCTGGCCCTCTTTGTGCTCGGGGCGTTAGCTCCAGTGCTGCGTTCCTGACGTGCACAAGACCCTCCGCAGCTCCACACGCGATGAAGGCAGGCAGGGACGACTCAGTGAGCTACAGTAAAATGAGCAGCTACTGCTTAAAGTGGGTCCAGCACAATAACAGTATGAAAGAGGATCCCAAAATAAACCTACTGGGAATGGAGCATTTTTTCCTAAATAGCTTTTTAGGGAGAAACAAGTCTTTCAACTGTCTGATTTAAATTTTATTTAGATTATTTATTGAAAAGCCATTCCTGCAGGAGTATTTGCAGCGCACAGCCTGGAGCAGAGCCCTGCTGCCAGTGCCAGCAAGCAGGGGCTGCAGGGGAATGTCAGCCAGGGCCCCCCATGTCCCACCTCAGCAGCAGTGCTCCCCACCCCACGGGAGCTCCGAGGGGACAGCCAGCACTGGCACAGCTGCTCCCGCTGGAGCAGCAGCCATCGATTCCTCAGCCAAGATCCTCTTGTGAAATACTGGAACAAGGCTTTTCACTTTTACTTGCTCTAAAAGGTAGTAATGCCTGCTACAAGCGCCCTCTTAAGATTTGTTTGCAAGCAGCAGCAGAACACAGGGGAGGCTCCAACAGTTACTCGGCACTGTCAAGAAGTGCACAAGAATCTGTAAAAAGTCGCTGTTTCACGCTGCTTTGGTGAGCTTTGCTGTGCTCCCGTGGCTGCTGCTTGACCAGTGTCTCCTACATGAAGCTGCCTGTCTTACAGCCACCTCTATTCCCCTTCTGGGCTGTGTGGCCAAGGTTAAGGAAATAAAAAAAAAAAAAGAATGGGACTTTCTGAAGTCCCCAGCTTGCTAAGTGCCAGTATTTTGGTATCCCAGCCCAGCAGGGAGGCACAGAACAGCTCCAATACCTGATCTGTGCCCGGGGCTGCCTTTGGCACTGCATTTTCTCAGCCTGACCTTAGCAGTGCTGCAGCAGCCTGTCCCGAGGTGCCAGTTGCTGCAGACACGCTACCCCAGAAGCTACAGGGAGTCTCCCTGAAGGCAAAAATAAGCAGTAGTATTCTTAATGCTCCCATCAGGTTGCTGCCTGCCCTCTTCCTCACAGGGCAGGAGAGCTTTGAATCTTGGTGTCTTGAAGAAAAAGCTGACAACTTGTTAACTTCTTCATTGTGGGATGAAAACCAATTTTAAAACTAGTAAGGAAGATGTAAATGCTGCCCTTTGGATACTTTAAATATGCCTGGTGGGAGCTAACTCTACGTACAGCAGAGACATCACCACTGCATTTGGGGTATTAGACCTAAACTCTAAGCCAGACTCAACCCCCATCTCTCCCACTCACAAGTTCCCTCTAAGCAACTCACCTCCTAAAGCCTGCACACTGGCCTTGCCCCAACACTCTTCCTCAAGACTGTTGTCTGGCATCTTCTTACACGGGCCTTCACTGCCACCAAGTGATGAGGAATTAATTGTTCAGTGCATTCAAACAAGCCGGAAGACCCGGCCTTATGTGCAACTTCTCATTTTTGCTGGCTCTTGTTTACAGCTTTTGTTTCATTTCTGTTAATAAATTTTTTAAATAATCTGTGTCTACAAGGTATTTTGATTGTCTAACACACCTACACTGTTTAATCATTCAAAGCTCATTCTTGAACTCATCCAGATCCCTCCTCTGCCAGCACAGGTTCAGGTGCTCTAATGCACCCAGCAAGAATTAAGAGCTGGGCTAAGCTAAGCTGCAGTGCACGTTTTAAAATGCTCTGGTTCCCTCAAAGTGAATAGCAGTAACAGGAATGGTCTGCTGGGTGCCCAAATGCAATCTGTATCCAGTTGGTCTGTCATCTTTAGATGCCACCCGTGGGATTTGTGAAAAACAGAAGCAAAAGAAGTCTTTTGAAAACTTTATTAGAACTCACCACCTGTGAATCCTTTCAGTGACCCACACTACTGCTCCGCGACCTGCCACCGCATCTACCTTAAGCTACCACGCGTGGTAGAGTAAAATGCGACTGTGATTTCTTGCACTTTGGGCAGTTCTGCAGCTCTTTGTGCTTTAAAAGCTGCCATGACTCCCCAGTTGTACAGCCCGAGAAAGAGCAGCTTCCCCGTGCGATACAGCTAGCCCCAGGAGAGCACGTTTTCAGCCGAGCTCCATGGCTTACTCTGCTCCAGAGCCCGCAGCCTATGCTACCCCTCCAACAGCAGCTGAGCCAAGGCGCCGA